ATGATGTCCCAGATGTGCTCAATTGGATTCAGGTCTGGGGAACGGGCAGGCCAGTCCATAGCATCAATGCCTTCGTCTTGCAGGAACTGCTGACACACTCCAGCCACATGAGGTCTAGCATTGTTGTGCATTAGGAGGAATCCAGGGCCAACCACACCAGCATATAGTCTCACAAGGGGTCTGAGGATCTCATCTCGGTACCTAATGGCAGTCAGGCTATCTCTGGCGAGCACATGGAAGGCTGTGCGGCCCCCTAAAGAAATGCCACCCCACACCATTACTGACCCACTGCCAAACCGGTCATGCTGGAGGATGTTGCAGGCAGCAGAACGTTCTCCACGGCGTCTCTAGACCCCGTCACGTCTGTCACATGTGCTCAGTGTGAAACTGCTTTCATCTGTGAAGAGCACAGGGCGCCAGTGGCGAATTTGCCAATCTAGGTGTTCTCTGGCAAATGCCAAACATCCTGCACGGTGTTGGGCTGTAAGCACAACCCCCACCTGTGCACGTCGGGCCCTCATACCACCCTCATGGAGTCTGTTTCTGACCGTTTGAGCAGCCACATGCACGTTTGTGGCCCGCTGGAGGTCATTTTGCAGGGCTCTGGCAGTTCTCCTGTTCCTCCTTGCACAAAGGCGGAGGTAGTGGTCCTGATGCTGGGTTGTTGCCCTCCTACGGCCTCCTCCACGTCTCCTGATGTACTGGCCTGTCTCCTGGTAGCGCCTCCATGTCTGGACACTACGCTGACAGACACAGCAAACCTTCTTGCCACAGCTCGCATTGATGTGCCATCCTGGATGAGCTGCACTACCTGAGCCACTTGTGTGGGTTGTAGACTCCGTCTCATGCTACCACTAGAGTGAAAGCACCGCCAGCATTCAAAAGTGACCAAACCATCAGCCAGAAAGCATAGGAACTGAGAAGTGGTCTGTGGTCACCACCTGCAGAACCACTCCTTTATTGGGGATTTCTTGCTAACTGCCTATGCTTTCCACCTGTTGTCTATTCCAGTTGCACAACAGCATGTGAAATTGATTGTCAATCAGTGTTGCTACCTAAGTGGACAGTTTGATTTCACAGAAGTGTCATTGACATTGTGTTGTTTAAGTGTTCCCTTTATTTTTTTGAGCAGTGTATAATCTTATGGCTTTTTAAAATATTTCATTTTTCTGGGGGGTGGGGGGCTTCCCACATAGGTGTGGATCAGTTTTATTGGGTGTTTTTCTTTCAAAAAGGGGCAAAGCTGCCTTTAGTTATCTCGTGTATTTTAGCAGTTGGAGCCTTATTTCTTTTTTTTTTTTAACCTATCCTCATGAGTTCTAGATGGGATGGAATGGGATGCATAAAAACAGCAGTCCATTAAGCCAAAACAATCCTTTCTCATAATATCTTTTTTTTTAAAAAAAAAAAAAACTTAATTTATTACCCTCCCCAATTGTAAATATGCAAGGTAGACAGGTTGAGTCCTGCCCCATAACTATAGCTGAAGGTGTATTTGAACTTCTTTGAATTTAAATTTCCTTGAATTTGTATTTCTTTCCTTCCTTCTGCCCTAAATCCCTCCCTTCTTTGAATTTCGTCTCTCCCTTCAGGAACAGGAAATGTGTTATAAGGAGACTCCTTCCTTCCTTCCTCCATTCAAGAATAGGAAATGTGCCACAAGGAAGCCAGGATTGATGAGTCATGATGGGTTGGAGTTCATAACTGCATAAGTTAGAAAAAGCAAGAAAAGGGGAGAAGAAATGGGTTGCTTACAATAACCTCAACTTTTTCCTCCTCTTTTGCTTATACGATGCCTTAACCCAGGGCCTTCAAACTTGACAGCTTTAAGACTTGTAGGCTTCAACTCCTAGAATTCCTCCTCCAGTCATGTTAGCTCAGGAATTCTGGGAGTTGAAGTTCACAAATCTTAAACTTGCAAGTTTGAAGACCCTTGCCCCTTAACCTTCTGTGTTGCCTGAAGGTAGTCCTCTATTTATGAGCACAATTGGGATTGCAATCTCGCTTGTTTTGCGAAGTGGTCATTATGTGAGATATCTCATGATGGCTTTGCTCAAAAATTGTAATTCTGTGCTCACTGTTGCGGTTTAAGTGATTTCATTGGTCATTAAGTGCACAGAATCCCAAGTTAGAAGCATGGGTTTGTGTGGACAAGGGGGGCAGCAGGGGAGGCCATCAGAGTCCCAGCGTTGGCCACACTTGACTTGAGGGGATCCTGGAGAAGCTTAGAAATGTTTGGTACACGTTGCTTAGAAACTGTATGGAACATGCAGATGGGAGAATGGCAGAAGGCTGCAAAGGACTCCAGTCTCAGAAATTAAGGCCACATTTCTCGGTGGCAACGGTGACACTGGCCTGAAGTCCAGGCCTGATGTCAGTGGCACAGGCCTCCATTTAAGACTAGCATTTCTGCCTCATTGTAGGGCCTAGATGCGGCAGCTGAGGCTTCTGGGGGCAGCTGCATCTTTGTCCTTCACTGCAACACTCCTAATTCATGCACGGCCTGCACAGGACCTCCCTCAGCCCCTTCAGTCACCCCTCCACTTCTTCCTCGGGCCACCCTTAACCCACAACTTCATTCAACAACTACTATTTTAAAAAGGGGGGGTTGCCTCCTAGTGATGAGGGAGATTTTGTCTAGTGTCCCGAGGTCGCTGATGGGGTTGAAGTCTCAGATATTGTGAATCTCTACCTTTCTTAATATTATTCTTGATATTATTCTGCTTTTCTTTTCTTTTTTTGACAGTGGATAAGAGATTGTGACCAAAGATTTACCTGCAAGACAACAATCAACAGGCAGTAGATACTTAGGGCAAGGCAGAAGCTGCCAGAAAGGATGGAGCCTGAGAAGCTCTTGGATCCCCCATCAGACCCAAGCAGCGCTTCAAAAAAATCCAAAAAAATGCATAAATGCTCAGAGTGTGGGAAATCCTTTGCTGGCCAGTCCCTCCTTTTGACCCACAGGAAGGTCCATGTGGGAAGTGGATCCAGTCAAGGTTTGGAGGGTGAGAAATCCTTCTCTGGAAAAGACGCCGAAGATCCCCCTTCACTAAAACCCTATAAATGTGATGAATGTGACTTATGCTTTGGTCGATCATCATACCTCCTTACACATCAGAAAATCCACACTGGAGAGAAACCTTATCAATGTCTGGAATGTGGGACATTTTTCCGTGAAAAAGCCACCCTCAGAAAGCACGAGAGGACTCATACGGGGGAGAAACCTTTCAGCTGTGGGCAATGTGGAAAGAGCTTTTCCCAGAAGATCAATCTTTGTGTCCATGAGCAGATTCACGCGGGAATCAAACCTCACAAATGCTTAGAGTGTGGAAAATGTTTCACCCAGATTTCATCTCTTCGGAGTCACGAGAAAACACACCGAGGGGAGAAAAACGAAAAGTGCCTTGAATGTGGGAAATGTTTTATCTTGAAATCAAACCTGTTGCAACATCAGAGACTTCACACTGGAATGAGACCCTATGAATGCCCAGAATGTGAGAAACGATTTCTGACTTCTTCTGATCTTCGGAAACACCAGATAGGGCACAAAGAGGAGAAACCCTATAAATGTGGGGAGTGTGGGAAAGGTTTTCTCGAGCGAAGGAAGCTTCAGAGTCACGAGAGAATCCACACAGGGGAGAAGCCATTCAAATGTCTGGAGTGTGAGATGTGCTTTTCCGATAAATACAACCTTGCAAGGCATCAGAGGGTCCACACAGGAGAGAAGCCCTACAAATGCGGAGAATGTGGAAAATGTTTTGCTCAGAAGGGATACCTTTCAATCCATTATAAAACCCACACAGAGGAGAAGCCCTTTCAGTGCAATGAGTGTGGACAATTTTATCGTACCCTAACAACCCTTAGAAAACATGCAAAACTTCACACAGGGAACAAAATTTCAAATGGTTAGAGTGTGGGAGAACATTTGCTCATTCATGTTCCCTTAAAAATCACAGCCAAATCTATATAGGAGAGAAGCCCTAGTCAGGTAACCTTAAATTTAAGCATAATTTTCAAGAAGAACCTATCCCTATTACTGAAGAGAAAAGTTTTCGATCAGTGTGTGCTAGTCATATCAAATATTTGTTAACCTTTTATTTCTCTTTTCATTTTTTTGGATATAAATTTATCATTTCAGGAAATGTTTAATATCTTCCAATTTTATTACTATTGTTTTGTAATTATTTTGTTTAGTTGTTATGAGGGGGATTTAAGCTAACTGGAAAGGGGGATTATATTCTTATGTCATTAGCTATTTTTGTCAATGGGATCTGGATCTTTGGGGATCAATAGGAGAGCTGAAGATTTAAAGATAAGTTTGTAAAAAATGGGATCAGGTACACAATGAAGATGCCCCCGTTGGTAATTGGAGAGAGAATGATAAATCACACACACGGGATTAATTGGAGTGCAGGTTACTTAGCACATACATTGCAGGTTGTGAGATATGTTAACTTTGAATTATGTAATGATTTTAGTGTGAATTGTAAATTGATACCAGGTTGCTTATCATGTGACCCAAAATTCAGGTTATAATATGTGCAATTAAGATTACTATATGTACAATTGCTTTATCTATAAATTTAATTTTTAAAGCATATTCTTGTTGTTCTTTACTCTGATACTTCATTATTCATGCACCATATCGCATTCAATGTTTTTCTTGCCTATTTTCGCCAATCTGGAAACAATTACCTTATTTCCCATCGAAATACCACTTCAAAATAGTACAGGTAGACCTTGGGTTACGACCACAATTGAACCTAAAATTGATGTTGCTAAGTGATACATTTGTTAAGCGAGTTTTGCCCCATTTTACGACTTTTCTTCCCATTCTTGTGAAGTGAACCATTGCAATTGTTACGTTAGCAACATGGTCCTTAAGTGAATCCGGCCTCTTCATTGACTTTGCTTGTCAGATGATCACAAAAGAGGATCTCATGACTCGGAGAGACTGCAACTGTCATAAATATGAATTAGTTGCCAAGAATCTGAATTTTGATCACGTGACCATGGGGATGCTGCAGTGGTTGTAAGTGTGAAAAATGGTCATTTTTCAGTGCCCTTTTAACTTGTTATGGTCACTAACAAACTGTTGTAAGTTGAGCACTACCTGTATAAATCGTATTTTTTGAGGGATTCATTAACCTCACTAAAGGAGACCTAACCGAACTCCTTGCTTGCCCTAAACTGTGCTTAATTCTCTTCTCCTGTGTCCTCCATGAAGTGGCATCTCATCTCCAGTCCATGACAAGGTTGCATGAATTGGCATCTCCAGAAGAGCTCATTAAAGAAAATAAAGAATCCAGTATCTTGTGTGTAAGAAAACTTTCAGCTATAAATTGAATCTTAAACCTCAGTGGAAACTCCACAGTGGAGAGAAACCCTTTCAGTGCTAATGTCAACCTTTCCAACTTGGTCATCCAGCAAAGAAAAGGACGCCTGCCCCATTGTTTAGCCAAAATTAAAGTTTACTGAAGCTGAAGTCGTGACAAGTAGCGAAGCTGGATCTGGTATTGTTGCACACAATTTTCTCGTTTCTCCGGTCGTCATCCTGTTATCAGTTAATGTCCAATTGGGTGCTTGTATATTGCTTCAATTGCCAATTGTCAGGCCTGTTCTTTCCAGACACTCATAAAATAAGGTGTACAAATCAGAGAGATCCAGAATTAAAAATAAGGAAGACTGACTAACAACAAAAGTTAGAACAAACCCCTTTAGAACTGACAATGAAGGCATCGAAATAGTGAACAGCTTCTGCCTTTTAGGATCAATCATCAACAGTAAAGGAAGAAATAAGCCCCAGTTCAGCACTTGGTAGTGTTGTAATGACGAGGCAGTCGAGTTGTTTGATCATGAACAACTGAATCATGATGATCTTTATTGGAGTCTAGTCTTGCATTTATACACATTTTTAGTTATCCTCCATCATTGGTTAACTTTGGTTACTGCTTAACTTTGGTTACTGTTTAGCACAGTAATCCATACAATTAATTATCTCTATTTAAAGTCTAACATATGTTTACTTCCTCTCTCTAATCCTCCTTTATCCATAGATTAGTGACTTTGTTTGCCTGAGTTGTATTTGCTTGGAAACATTCTTTATCTGAGGTTTGCCATCCGAGATTGGAACATTCCTGCAATTACAACTCTACATGGTAGAGCAGCCATAAAGGCCTTTGAAATCTTATTTAAATGCCATAACTAAAATAATCAGAATTGTGTAAGCCATGATCCTCTTCCCTATGATCTTCTATGCACTGAACAGAACAGAATATTAAAAAATGGAATATAAAGTATAGAAAATAGAATAGAATAGATGAAGAGAGAAAAGAAACTATGGAATATAAAGTATATAAACAATGGAATGGAATGGAGCAGAATAAAAGCCAAAGTTGGATTTAAACAAACAGGATAGGACTAGGACTGATGCCTCTGAACTTTCCCCATTCCTATTCTCCGGATGCCCCTAGCCTAGTAGTACTACAACTCCCATCACACCCTGCCTTCGCATATTTGGGGCACCCTTTCGAGACAGTTGCTTTGGAACTGGTGTTGAGTCCTTAGAAGCACAACGCGGCATATAATGTCCCTGTAGAGATGTCAATGGTGGCATTCCTGTAAGGATAACTGGCCTTGCGAATTGCCCTGTTTGCTGGGTTGCCATAGAGACCATTCGCCACCTTAAGAAAACTGAACTCCAACTCCCAGAATGCCTTGTGCTGGCTGAGGAACTCTGGGAGTTGAAGTTCACCTAGCTTAAAGTGGCTAAGGTTGAGAAACACCGTCCTAGACTAAGCTGATGCATTAAACAACCCCCAAAATCTGGTTACAGCTTTGCACAAACCAGGTGCTTAGTTCACCTGCGGGTTGTGTGTGTGTGTGTGTGTGGAGGGGGTTACAGACCTGGTGCCAATCTTGCTTGCCCTTCCCTCCCCTTTCCCCTCCCTATTTGATCATCAAGCCTCGTCTTGCTCTGGGTTCCGAAGGAGATAAGTCTCTGAGAGATCGATTCCTTAGAAAGGAAGAAAATTTGGGGTGGAGGGGTTTTTTGGGGGGGTGGGCTGGGGAAAAGAAGGCCAAAGGCTCCTCCCATCCCCGGTCTCGTCTGAATGCTGCCGGGGCCGGCGTTTGCAGGAGGGGCTGAGATCGACCCTGCTCTCTCTTCGGCTCTTTGTGGTGTGTGATGGGGTGTGTGGGATCGGGCCCACTTACCGGGGTGTGTGTGTGTGTGGGAAAACACCCGATCTCCTTTCTTGTGCATTTGAGCAAAGCTAAACTGCAGAGGAGGAGGAGGAGGAGGAGGGTGGGAGGGATGAAGGGCGCTGGGAAGTCCCCCACTCAAAATAGATCCGAGCTCACTCCTGCAAATAAAAGATTACGTGGGAAGGGGGCGCCTTTGCAGAGCAAGCAAGAGGGTCTATGGTCTCCCCTTTTCCATGCTGTGGGGAGGGGGAGCCAGCTTAGCCCCCTCCACCCCAAGTTCTGGTTTTCAGTTTGATTGCTGCCTCTCCTCCCTCCCCGCGCCCCTTGCAGGGTTCAACAGATTACCAGAGTTGGAAGGGACCTTGTAGGTCATCTAGTCCAACCCCCCTGCCCAATCAGGAGACCCTACTACACCATTTCTGACAAATGGCGGTGCAATCTCTTCTTGAAAGTCTCAAGGGATGAAGCTCCCACAACTTCAGAAAGCAAAGCTGTTCCATGGGTTGATTGTTCTCACTGTCAGAAAAGTTCTCTTTTTATTTCCAGGTTAAAACTTTCAGGGTGTATTCAATGCTTTGGGAAGGAAAATCCATCTGGTTCAATTCTTAAAATGGGAGAAAGATGCTGGAAGCCACACAGAGGCTGATTGTAAAGAAAGTCCATTTATTGGTGGACAGAACCACCAGGGTTTGTGGGTTCTGGTGCAGCTGGCAAAATGGAGTTTAGAGTGGGTTGGTTTTTATACCTTCTGGATTTCTATGGGGGTCATGGCTAGCTCTATAGGCAAAAGGGAAAATGCAAATCTTAGGTGTTTGTCCGAGCTAATCTGATCAACCTATTTTTTTGTTGCTTATCTGAGTTTCTGTCTTGATCCAGTCTTTCTGAATGGGTTACCAAATCTGCATTTCTAAAAGCTGGCCTCCTCAGTATTTTTTTGCTTGAGACAGGGAAACTGGGACTGTTTTCTGCCTCCTTTCAGATTTTTTTCCCCCATTTCTCCTTTAGGGGAAATATTTTATCCTGCCTTTTTTTCAAATATTTCCCAAACTATTTCATACTTCTGGGGCAGGTGGGCTTCCCACACAGGGTTAAAACTTCCAGGGTGTATTTAATGTCTTAGTAGGTCTGGATTGGCTTTATTGGGTGCTTTTCTTTCAAAAAGGGGCAAAGCTGCCTTTATTTTTCTTATCTCCTGTGGAATTTAGCTGTTGGAGCCTTATTTCTTTTCTTTTTTTAATCCATCCTGCTCCTCATGAGTTCTAGGTGGGATGGGAGAGGGGAATACATAAAAGCAGAAGTCCATTAAGACAAAACAGTCATTTATCATAATATCTTTTTTTTCCTTATACTTAATTTATTACCCTCCCCAAGGGTAAACCTGCAAAGTAGACAGGCTGGATACTGCCCTAGTTCCGTATTCCATATACTGAAGGTGGATTTGAACTTCTTTGAATTCCTTCCTTCCTTCCTTCCTTCCTTCCTTCCTTCTTTCTTTCTGTTGGAAGAAATATTCTTCTGGATTCTGTTCCAAGTGGGGGAAAAAACACTGGAAACATGGAGGCTGTTTGGAAAGATGGTTTAATGGTGAACAGGACCATATGGCTTGGAGCTCCAAGCCAACATGCTGGACATGTATATAACCTTAGTTATATACCCTCTGTTGGGCCCCACCTTATTGTTTCCTGTTCCTGTGTAAGAAAGGTATCCCATTGGCTGTCAGATTCCCAGGGGTGGGAGTCTTAGCTAACTTTGTAGGCTTTGTCTGGAGTGCTGGCTTCACCTGAGTGCTGGCTGATGCAATCTTCCCCAGGTCAGGTGGTAAGATGGGCAGAGGCCTTTGTTATGTAGAATATTCTGCCCCCAGGCCTTAATAGCCTGCGCATTAATAAAGGTGGGGGTGAGCTTCTGCTTCTGAGGTGAATTTCTGCTTCTCTTGAGTTTCTACTTCCCTTTTAGGGGTGATATTCTACCTTTTTAATATTTCCTAGGATGTATCATTTTTCTAGGAGAGGGGTGGGTGCTAACTTCCTACACTTCCTTCCTTCCTCTGTGCAGGAACAGAAAATTTGTCACTGGAGATTTTGTCTAGACTAGAGTGTTGTGAGGTGCTGAACAGGGAGTCGGATTGGAAAACCTTCCTGATCCCTCCCAAGTCTCAGGTATTGTGAATCTCTACTTTTCTCAAAAGGAAATATTATTCTGCATTTCTTTTTTTTTTCTTTCTGACAGTGGATAAGAGATTGTGACCCAAGATTTACCTGCAAGACAACAATCAACAGGCAGTAGATACTTAGGGCAAGGCAGAAGCTGCCAGAAAGGATGGAGCCTGGGAAACTCTTGGATCCCCCATCAGACCCAAGCAGCGCTTCGAAAAAGTCCAAAAAAATGCATGAATGCTCAGAGTGTGGGAAATCCTTTGCTGGCCGGTCCCTCCTTTTGACCCACAGGAAGGTCCATGTGGGAAGTGGATCCAGTCAAGGTTTGGAGGGTGAGAAATCCTTCTCTGGAAAAGACGCCGAAGATCTCAGGAGCCCCCCTTCACTAAAACCCTATAAGTGTGGTGAATGCGATTTATGCTTTGGTCGATCGTCACACCTTCTTACACATCAGAAAATCCACAATGGAGAGAAACCTTATCATTGTCTGGAATGCGGGACATTTTTCCGTGAAAAAGCCACCCTCAGAAAGCACGAGAGGACTCACACGGGGGAGAAACCTTTCAGCTGTGGGCAATGTGGGAAGAGCTTTTCCCAGAAGACAAACCTTTGTGTCCATGAGCAGATCCACGCAGGAATCAAACCTCACAAATGCTTGGAGTGTGGAAAACAGTTCACACAGAGTTCCTCTCTTTGGAAACACGAGAAAACACACCGAGGGGAGAAAAATGAAAAGTGTCTCGAATGCGGGAAGTGTTTTATCTTAAAATCAAACCTGTTGCAACATCAGAGACTTCACACCGGGGAGAGACCCTATCAATGTTCAGAATGTGAGACACGATTTCTGACTTCTTCTGATCTTCGGAAACATCAGAAAGGGCACAGAGATGAGAAACCCTATAAATGTGGGGCTTGTGGGAAAGGTTTTCTTGAACTAAGGAAGCTTCAGAGTCATGAGAGAATCCACACAGGGGAGAAGCCATTCAAATGCCTGGAGTGTGGGAGGTGCTTTTCCCAAAAACATCATCTTGCAAGGCATCAGAGGGTCCACACAGGAGAGAAGCCCTACAAATGCGGAGAATGTGGAAAATATTTTGCTCAGAAGGGATACCTTTCAATCCATTATAAAACCCACACAGAGGAGAAGCCCTTTCAGTGCAATGAGTGTGGACAATTTTATCGTACCCTAACAACCCTTAGAAAACATGCAAAACTTCACACAGGGAACAAAATTTCAAATGGTTAGAGTGTGGGAGAACATTTTGCTCATTCATGTTCCCTTAAAAATCACAACGAAATCTATATAGCAGAGAAGCCCTAGTCAGGTAACCTTAAATTTAAGCATAATTTTCAAGAAGAACCTACCGCTATTACTGAAGAGAAAAGTTTTCGATCAGTGTGTGCTAGTCAAATCTAATATTTCTTAACCTTTTATTTTTCTTTTCATTTGTTGGGCATAATGTTTATTATTTCAGGAAAATAATAAACTTTATATCCAATATCTTCCAATTTTATTACTATTGTTTTGTAATTATTTTCTTTAATTATGAGATGGGTTTAAGCTAACTGGAAAGGGGAATTATATTATGTCATTAACTATTTTTGTCCATTGGATCTGGACAGTGGTGGGATTCAGTTGGTTTGCACCAGTACAGTAGAATCAGTAGCTAACTTTCTGTGCAGTTCGGCGAATCGGCTGTTGGAAGAAATCTCCTTCCAACAGCCTTTTTTCCCCCCCACCTTAAGGATTTCATCCTGGCAGGAAGGCAGGAAGGAGGCATTCTGGTGTGCCTGTGTGTGTTGTTTCTAGCCTAATCCTTATCTTTATTATTGCCCTGCTTAAGGCTTGGGAAGAGGAACTGGTTGGATAGAATAGAGTAGAGTAGAGTAGAGTAGAATAGAATACTTTATGGGCCAAGTTTGATTGGACACACAAGGAATTTGTCTTGGTGTAAATACTCTCACAATATATAAAAGAAAAGATACATTCGTCAAGAGTCAAGAATCAAAAGGTATAACACTGAATGATAGTCATAGGGTACAATAAGCAATCAAATCATACTAGGAAACAGTCAATATAAATCGTAAGGATACAAGCAACAAAGTTACAGTCATACAGTCACAAGTGGGAGGGGATGGGTGATAAGGAGTGATGAGAAGGTTAACAGTAATAGTAGTGGAGACTTTGTAATAGTTGAACAGTGTTGAGGGAATTATTTGCTTAGCAGAGTGATGGCTTTTGGGGAAAAAACTGTCCTTGTATCTAGTTGTTCTGGTGTGCAATGCTCTACAGCGTTGTTTTGAGGGAAGGAGTTGAAACAATTTATGTCCAGGATGTGAGGGTCCATAAATATTTTCACAGCCCTCTTTTTGACTCGTGCAGTCCTTGATTGAAGGCAGGTTGGTAGCCATTGTTTTTTTTGGATTAAGAGCTATTTACATAAGGGTTGGCATAGCCATAGAAGAAATGGCTGGGAGGCAGGATGCAAGCTTGGCATTCTGTCTGATATTTTTAATGCCTTTCTGGGGGGCATGTGATATTTCCTTAAATCTGGATGATTTCCTTAGGATATCTTGTGAGGTGAGTGAGAGCAGCTGGTATCTTTAAGTGGTGCAAATGGATCTGACTATTGCTTCTCCTAGGTGGGAAAGGGTGTTTTGTCAGTTCACTGAGCACAGGACTCTCTTGTCTATGGGGATTCTTCAGTCATCCAGGTCATGATTGTCCCAAAGGTGCTTTTTTCAAGAGGAAACTGGACTTTCTCCAGTTGCCTTCTGAAAAAGCTCCTTTGGAACAGGAGTCTCTTGCATTGCTTCAGAGTATCCAAGGCACATGATTGCTCACTGATAGTAAGTGGATCCTCCTTTCAATTTGTTTTAGTTTTCTCTTATGATAATAAGTCTCAGCAACGTGGCACCAATTGTAGAAAGTTAGCACCCACCCTCTCTTAGAAGAATGAAACATTTTGAGAAATATTTAAAAAGATTATATTTCCCTTGATGAGAAATGAAGAAACTGTTTTCTTAGAGGGAGAAAGCAGCCCCCCACCTCCCTTAATAGCCCACAGCAGATGTCAGCACTTAAAGAGACAGATAACTCTATTCATAGGCAAAAATTCCCTGCAGCAAGGTCTGAATGAAGGTAGAGTGGGATTAGCCCTCAGTCAAGATCCAAAATGGGAGGAAAGACATTAAAACACAGTAGGAATTTCCCAATACCCCTTCAGGACACAAGCCTCTTCATTACATCATCTCTAGAGATTGCAAACTTCAACCAAACTTCTCAGACACCCCACAGAGCCATCTACATGGCCCCATGGGAGTCTGACAACAACCAATAGAATACATGTTGTTGCACAGAAACAGGAAGCTCAAGTCAAAACCCTCCCTCTCAACTCCATATGGTCAATTGCACTAGGATCATGTGCTTGATGGTTCTGCTTCATTAAACCATCTATCCAATAAGCTTCCATGTCTCCAGTGTCTTTCTCCCAGCTTGGACCTGAACCAGATGGATATGTGCAATTCAGGTTACTATATGTACAGTTGTTCTAACTATAAATTTAAATTTTTGAAGCATATTCTTATTCTTCTTTACTGTGATATTTCATTATCCACACACACCTTATTGCATTAAATTTCTTTATTTTCCAACGAGAAATAGTACAGGTAGTCCTTGAGGTACGACTACAATTGAGCCCAAACTTTATGTTGCTAAGTGAACAATTGTTAAGTGAGTTTTGCCCCATTTTACGACTTTTCTTCCCCCTCTTATTAAGTGAACCATTGCAATTGTTAAGTTAGTAACACAGTTCTTAATTGAATCTGGCTTCCCCACTGATGTGTGGCAACATTATGCTTGCTGTCAGGGTTCCGGAAATTGCCCTAATTAAATCATGAGCCTTGAGCCAAGTTTCAGAAGAATCCAAAAGATTTATTAGGAGCAACATGTTGGCATTGTCCCATATGAAGCCAACTCTTGCTACACGTAATTTACCTTCACCTGTGATCCTGTTTCCCTCCTTCCCCCCTGGATATGTCATAAATCAGACTCTCCAAGGAAGCACATTCACTGAGTGTCATCAATCACATTCTCCAATGAAGGATTTATGTGAGCAGACGATCTAGGTTACAATCTTCGTAAATAAGCATGGAATGTACTTCTGTTTTTTATTGTCGTGCTGCTACTTCAGATCCCCCCCCTCTGCTTATGACAACTTCGAAACAGGCATAGAAATGCTTTAGAAGTTGACACTTTGCTTGTTAGAAAATCGCAAGAAGGGACCTCATGACCCAGAGACACTGCAACTGTGATAAAACATGAATTAGTTGCCAAGAGTCAGAATTTTGATCATGCGACCATCGGGATGCTGCAGTGTGTCATGCCCCTGTTAGAATCTGACTCTGAGGGAGAGGAGGAACAGCCGATAGGGAGTGGGGGTGTGGCTCTGGAGGTTGTGGAGGAAACGGGAAGGGCACAGGCTGGCTGGGCATTCAGAGGAAGACCCAGGCCCATCCCCTCTTCATCCTAGGGCACGCAGGGGGGAACAGATCAGGGAGAAATGTGAGTGGTATGGTCTACAGGAGAGGAAAGGGCCTTGATCCCCTTCATGGGCTGCAGCTGTGAGGACTGTTTAAAAGGACAAACTGCGCATGGCCCAGTTCCGGAAGCAAAGCGTGAATATGTTTCTAGTCTGTCAGTTCTTATCTGAGTTCTGGCGTCCTTCCCAGTGTGTGTATTTTGATATCTGTGGACGTCTTCAAGCCCTTATCCTGCCTTGTCTCATTAATTGCTTCAGTGTAGTTTGTGTTGTTTTTTTTCTATTTACAATTTATATGTATTTTGAGTTTGAATGGAAGTTCTTCCTTTTCCTAACTGTTTGTAGGGGAGTTTTTTCTCCAGTAAATGATAATTGGACCTTTGAAGCCAAGTTGAAGGAATTAAAGGGGACATCACCTGTTTTTGTGACTTTGTTGCTTTTGTATCGCACCCTCGGTCATCACACAGTGGTTGTGAGTGAGAAAACATTCATAAGTCACATTTTTCAGTGCCGTTGTAACTTGTAATGGTCACTAAATGAACTGTTGTAAGTTGAGGACTACCTGTATAAATTGAATGGGATATTTTTGAGGGATTCATTAACCTCACTAAAGAAGACCTAACTTAACTCCTTGCTTGCCCTAAACTGTGCTTAATTCTCTTATCATGTGTCTTCCATGAAGTGGCATCTCATCCCTTGCCCATGACAAGGTTGTGGGAATTGGCATCTCCAGCAGATCTCATTAAAGGAAATAAAGAATCCAGTATCTTGTGTGTAAGAAAACTTTCAGCTATAAATTGAATCTTAAAACTCAGCGGAAACTCCACAGTGAGAGAAACCCCTTCAGTGCTAATGTCAACCTTTCCAACTTGGTCATCCAGCAAAGAAAAGGACTCCTGCCCCATTGTTTAGCCAAAATTAAACTTTACTGAAGCTGAAGTCGTTACAGAAGTAGTGAAGCTGGATCTGGCATTTTCGCGCACAATTAATTTTCTCTTTTCCCTGGTCGTCCCCGTTATCAGTTAATGTCCAATTGGGTGCTTGTATATTGTTTTTAGCAACGGAAACTCAATTCCGAGTCATCGTGGCGCAGTGGTTACAAAGCAATATTGCAGGGTAACTCTGCCTACAGCCAGGAGTTCAACCCTGACCGGCTCAAGGTTCTCACCTTCTATCCTTCCCAGGTTGGTAAAACGAGGACCCAGATTGTGGGAGTTGGGAGAAATATGCTGACTGCTCAGAGTGGGCTGTAAAGCACTGTGAAGCGGTATATAAGTGTAAATGCTATTCCTATCAGAGGATCCACACCGGAGAGTGATCATACCAGTGTTTGGACTGGTCAAACAATTCACACTGGGGATAAACCGTTCAACTGTTTATTTTTGGTTTTAATCTGTATTTAATTTTACCTCATTTTGAAGACTTCTGGTAGAACAAACCCCTTTAGAACTGACAATGAAGACATCAAAGTAGGGAACAGCTTCTGCCTTTTAGGATCAAACATCAACAGTAAAGGAAGAAATAAGCCCGAATTCAGCACTTGGTAAAGCAGCCATAAAGGCCTTTGAAATCATATTTAAATGCCATGATGGGTCTCTTATCTAAAATAATCAGAATTGTGTAAGCCATGATCATCTTCCCTGTGATATTTTGAACTGATGTGAATGGAAACAATGGAATATGAATTATATAAAGAATAGAGAAGAATAGAAAGAATGGAATAGAATGCAAGCAAAAGTTGAATTTAAAGAAGCAGGAAAAGAAAGCATGCTTCAGAACTTTCCACATTTCTGTTCTCTGGATGCCCCTGTACTACAACTCCCATCACACTCTGCCTTTGCATGTTTGGTTTCGAGCCAGTTGCTTTGGAAATGGTGTTGAGTCCTTAGGAGCATAATAAAGCATATAATGTCCCTGTAGGGATGTCAATGGTGGCACTCCTGTAACTGGCCTTGCGAATTGCCCTGTTTGCTGGGTTGCCATAGAGACCATTCGCCACCTTAAGATAGCTGAACTCCAACTCCCAGAGTTCCCTGTGACAGCTGGGGAATTCTGGGAGTTGAAGTTCACGTGTCTTAAAAGATGCTAAGGTTGAGCAAGGCTGTCTTAGAGTAACTTGATGCACCTGGTTATAGCTATATTTATATTTATATTATGTATATTATTTATATTTTTATATCTATATCTATATATCTATATCTATATCTCTATATATCTCTATCTCTATCTCTATATTATTTTTTATCAACCATGGCCAGGTGCCTCTGCCCAGCCTTAGGTCGTGTGTGTGTGTGTGCTCATCATCAAGCCTCGTCTTCGAAAGAGTCTTCGAAAGAAAAAATAGAAGCTCTCGGTCTTCGAAAGAGTTAAATAGAAGTGGTGGATTCCTAGAGAGGAAGGAAATTTGGGGTTGGAGTTTGGGGACTGGGGGTGGGAGGAAGGAGAAGGGGGTGGTGGTGGAGAATTGAGAATCAAATGCCCCTCCCATTCCATGTTTGGTCTGAATGTTCCCAGGGCGGGATGCTGGCAGCGGCGTTGGCAGCAGGGAGCTGAGATGGACCCTGCTTTCCCTCCGGGCCTTTCTGGTGGGTGTGGGTGTGGAGGAGAGTGGGGTGCAAGGTGGGGGGGGGGGAATCGGGCCCCTTAACTGGGGGAACACTCCCTGTTGGGTTCCTTCCCTCCCCTTCCTTGTGCATTTGAGCAAAGCGAAGCTGCAGAGGAGCAGGGAGGGAGGGATGAACGGCGCTGGGAAGCCCCCCCACTCAAAACAGATCCGAGCCCACTCCTGCAAATAAAAGATTAGGTGGGGAGCCTTTGCAGAGCAAGCAACGGGGTCCGTGGTCTCCCCTTTTCCATGCTGGGGAGGGGGGAGAGCAGCTTAGCCCCACCCCCACCCCAAGTTTTGGTTTTCAATTTCCTTGCTTCCTCCCCCCTGTCCCCTTCCTGCGCTCCTTGCAGGGTTAAACAGATTAACAGAGTCGGAAGGGACCTTGTAGGTCATCTACTCCAACCCCCCCCCCCATCCAAGCAGGAGACCCTACACCATTTCTGACAAACGGCAGTCCAATCTCCTCTTGAAAGTCTCAAGTGATGGCACTCCCACAACTTCCAAGGGCAAGCTGTTTTCCTTTTCAACTTGATTGCTGCTCCCACCCACCCCTTGCAGAGTTAAACCTTCCAGGGAGTGTTTAATGTCTTACTAGCTGTGGATCGGCTTTATTGGGTATGTTTTCTTTCGAATTGGGGGCTAAAGTGGCCTTTAGTTTTTCTTATCGCCTGTTTATTTTAACCCGGTCTGCTCCTCATGAGTTCTAGTGATGAGGGTGGTGGGGAAAGATGCATAAAAGCAGCAGTCCATTCAGCCAAAACAATCCTTTCTCAAAATATCCTTTTCCCCCCTCTTATGCTTAATTTATTACCTTCCCCAAGTGTAAACCTGCAAGGTAGACAGGCTGGATCCTGCTCCAGTTCTGTATTCCAGTTTCTATAGCTGAAGGTGGATTTGAACACAGGTGTCTCTCTCTCTCTTTCTTTCTTTCTTTCTTTCTTTCTTTCTTTCTTTCTTTCTTTCCTTCCTTCCTTCCTTCCTTCCTTCCTTCCTCCCTTCCTTGTCTTTCTTTCTCCACTCCCTCCCTCCCTCCCTTTCTTTGCATTTGTATTTCTTTCTTTCCGTCCTGCCTCCCTCCTTTGAATTTGAATTCCTTCTCTCCCTCCCTCCCTCCCTCCATCTCTCTCTCTCTCTCTCTCTCTCTC